TGCCACATTACCCAATTTACCACATTATCGCATGAGTCCAAATGAATACAAAATTTTGCATGATCAAGTGGCAGAATTGTTAGCCAAAGGCCATATTAAACCTAGTTTAAGCCCTTGTGCTGTACCAGCACTCCTTRCGCCCAAAAAAGATGGATCRTGGCGGATGTGTGTGGATAGCYRGGCTATCAACAAGATCACTATCAAATATCGGTTTCCTATCCCTCGCATCAATGATCTTCTTGATCAATTAGGAGGTGCAAACTTCTTTTMTAAAGTCGATCTCCRCAGTGGATACCACCAAATCAGAATTCGTCCAGGAGACGAATGGAAAACCGCTTTCRAAACAAWCGAAGGGCTCTTCGAATGGTTAGTCATGYCATTCGGGTTATCCAWCGMACCAAGCACTTTCATGCGCCTAATGCATCAGGTACTTCTTCCTTTTTTACATAAATTTATAGTTGTCTACTTTGATGACATCTTAGTCTATAGTAAAACAAGAAGTGACCACATTACACACTTGCACACTCTGTTTTCAGCCCTACACCAAAATAAACTGGTCATAAATATCAGAAACTGCCTTTTTCTAGTCTCAGAAATCTCTTTTCTAGGGTTTATTATTAGTCAGCAGGGGTTACAAATGGATCCAGATAAAATTAAGGCTATTTCTGATTGGCCTGAACCCAATTCCATAAAAGGCATCCAATGCTTCATCGGCTTAGCTTCTTTTTACAGAAAATTTATTAAGAACTTCAGCACTATTGCGGGCCCCCTCACTGATTGCCTAAAAAACGGCAACTTCCAGTGGTCTCAAGCTCAAAAGCAGAGTTTCCTACATATGAAACAGAAATTAACAAACAGCCCCGTTTTGAAACTGCCCGACTTAACCCAACCCTTTGAGGTAGCCGTAGACGCTTCTGGGGTTGGTATTGGAGCTGTTTTATCCCAGAATCAACATCCGATTGAGTACTTTAGTGAGAAATTAAGCCCCTCTCGCCAAAATTGGAGTACATACGAGCAAGAACTATATGCTCTTGTGGGAGCCCTTAAACAATGGGAGCACTACTTGCTCAGCCACGAATTTATCTTATTTACTGACCATTTCTCTTTAAAGTTCCTTCACACACAGAAATCTATCAGCCGTATGCACGCTAGATGGCTGTCCTTTTTGCAGCGGTTTGATTTTGTTATCAAACACAAGGATGGTACCCTTAATAAGGCAGCTGATGCTCTTAGTAGGAAACATTCTCTTCTCACGACTTTACAAAGTGAAGTTACTRCTTTCTCGGCCTTACCTACAACTTACCAAACTGATCCGGATTTCGAAAAAATATGGACTSAATGTCAACAACAMAACCATACWGGAGAATTTCATATSCTAGATGGGTATCTCTTTAAGGGGGATCAACTTTGTATCCCTCATACRTCCCTACGAGAAGCTCTGATTAAAGACCTACATGCGGGAGGTTTGGCCGGTCACTTTGGCCGCGATAAGACACTAACCCTTGTGGGAGCACGCTTCTTTTGGCCTCAAATYCGAAAAGACGTTTATAKCTATGTCTCCAAGTGTTTTATTTGTCAAACTAATAAGGGGACAAAACAGAACACTGGCCTTTACATACCGTTACCTACACCAAAAAATATTTGGGRAGATCTCTCTATGGACTTTGTCCTTGGCTTACCCCGCACACAACGAGGTTATGATTCCRTGTTAGTGGTTGTGGACCGATTCAGCAAAATGGCCCATTTTTTGGCTTGTAAGAAAACATCAGATGCCATATATGTGGCAAATTTATTCTTTAGGGAAATCGTCCGCCTACATGGCATACCAAAGACCATAGTTTCGGATAGGGACGTCAAGTTCCTTAGTCACTTTTGGAAG